TGGCTGGCCCAGGGCAGGCTCAGGTGCCCACCTCATCTTCCGGCACTCGGCCTGCACTATCTGCGCGTCCTCGTGATGCAAGAAGTTGGGGAGGTACACAACCGCCGGCGGCCGCTTGCGGTACTGCTGCGGGCGCGCCTGCCCCCACCACTGCTGCTGCTGCTGCTGCTGTTGTTGCTGCTGCAGCTGCGCTGCTGCTGCAGCCGCAGCCGCAGGTGCGCGCGTCGCGATCCGCCTGGGCTGCTCCTGCTGCTTCTGTGCACGTAACAAGACGGCACGCCGCTGCCGCGCCAGCAACTCTGCTGGCCAGCACGCCGACGGGGCACCTGGCATGGCGACGAGTGTCGCGCTGCGACACGCCCCTGCCGCCCGCTGGTGCCGCGGCGCGCTGCCTGCCGAGGTAGTGTGCGACTGCATCGCGTCAATGTGCCTCGTGGCAAGCGTTGGCTGATTAGATGGGGATCACCAGCAGCACCAACAGGCTACCGTGCAAGCGGCTGCTCTACACAGTACATGACAAGCCGCGATGGCATCATGCATTTCAGATTGGTATTGGTGCGTATGAAGTACGGTCTTACGGAGGTAGCACTGGACCGATGCACCGATCAGTGACAGTGTGACAGCGGTATGAGCGTCCAATGAAGCAAGGACCAGGCCTGACGCAACGTTGCTTAACAACGAGGACAGCTGCGGTGCTTGTGCCCATGAAACCGTGCATAGCTCGTGCGCTACACTGGCGCCCATGTGCCCCGCGCCTGCTTGCGCCGCCGCTAGGGGGCGTCGCCCGTGCCTTTTGTAGTGTGGCTCTGCCAATCATAGCACCAGCACATGTGGCCGCTCATCGCACCATACGTCAAGCAGGCAGCACAGCAGCCAAGGCAACGGCCGGGCCCGGCCCGGCCGCGCCCGAGCCGCCGCCCCCATTTGCCGACGAGGATCAGCAACAGCAGTGGCAGTGGCAGCAGCAGCAGCAGTGGCAGCAGCAGCAGCTGTCCCAGCGGCTGAGTGGGGCCCGCTCCCTTAGCGAGCTGCGGTCTCTGATTGACGCCCATCCCTCGGAGCTGGTTGATGGCGATCTGGGCCCCATGACGCTGCTGGCTGCGGCGCAGATGGAGCCTGGCGCGCTCGCGGATGAAGCGGAGGGCGGCGGCGGCGCTGGCGAGGATGGGGACGGAGACGCCGACGCTTTGGCGGCAGAGGTGGAGCTGGTGTGTATGCATGCGCGCAGTTGCGCGGCTGCGGATGCCCGTCCCATTGTTGTGGGGCGGGGCACACCAGTGGTGGTCCTGCAGCCATGCGTGGCGGCCGAGGAGCCGCCGTGATCAGCAAGCTGCAGCCTTATTTGCCAGCGGAAGTAGTCCGACGCACGTGTTTTAGTGTGCGCATGCATAAATACATACATGTGTGTGAGGGTGGGGCGACACGCGGTCGCACACCCTCAGCGTCGGGCAGCATAATCAGCCCCCCCTCGACCAATCTGCCAATCCACGCCCCCCTCGAACCCCCATCACCACCAACCCCGCAAAATCCGGCCAACAGCAAGAGCAGCTGCTGGACCGCCTCGTCCAGGCGCAGCTGCCGCGCCTGCGCGCCACGCCGCTGCGCACCTCGGCGGCGCTGGTGCTGGCGCTGTCCAACGCCGGCTACTACGACCCGGCCTTCTTCTCGGAGGCGGCGGCCGCGGCGGTCGAGGGGCTGGGGTCCTTGGAGGTGTGGGAGGTGCCGGTGGTGGCGACGGCGCTGGCGGCCGGGTTCAGCGCGGCGGGGCACTACGAGGAGCCGCTGTTCGAGGCGCTGGCAGCCAGGGTGGGTTTGGGGGAGGGGTGTTGATCATCGTGAAACTGCATCTGTGCTGCATGCATGGATTTGAAGGAACACCACACGGCTATGGGACGGCGTGGATTGGTGTTTCGTGTCCGCTGCCAGCCGCTGCGCTGCCCATGTGCTGTTCGCTGTGAATGCAGCCCGCGCTGCGCCGCACAGCGACCCTCGCAGCGCGTGCTTTCGCCGTTGGTGGCGCGTCCTTGCCCCCACACCCTCGCCGCGCTGCACCGCTTCCCGCCCCGCGCACAGGCCGTCGCTGCGGACGCGTCCGCCCCCTCCGGCCCCGCGCCGCTGCTGGCCGTGGCGGCGGCGCTGCTGGAGGTGCAGCACTACTGCCCGCCGCTGCTGGACGCGCTCGCGGCGTCCGTGCGCGCGGCGGGGGGCGCGGCGGCGATGCCTGCCGGTCAGCTGGTGGACCTGCTGCTGGTGGTGGGGTTCTTCAGGGCGGCGCCGCACGATTTGGTGGAGCAGGCCGGCGGCGCCCTGGCGGATGCGCTGGAGCGGCAGCAGCGGCAGGAGGGTGTTGAGGAGGAGCAGCAGGCGCGGCAGGATGAACGGGAGGCGGGGGGTGGCCAGGGAGCGGGGAGCGCCAGCGGCGCCGGCGGCGGTGAGGCGCTGCTCGAGGAGGACCAGCTGGGCCGGCTGCACCTGGCCGCGCTGCTGCTGCGGCAGCAGGGCGCGCCGCTGGGGCCGCGCCTCTGCGCCGCGCTCGCCGCGCGGCCGCCGGGGCGGCTGCTGGGCGCGGACCACATGGTATCAGACCCTGAGGCGGCGGCGGAGGCGCTGGGGCAGCCGCAGGGCGCGGATTGGGAGGCGGCGGGCCTGCTGACGCCGGGGCAGGTGGTGGGGCGGCTGACGCAGGGGCTCGGGTACGAGGTCGAGCGGGACGTCGTGGCTGGGGAGGAAGGTGACGGGCAGCTGCTCGCTGAGGTGGAGATCAGCATCACTGTGGATGAGTCGCGCCTGCAGGCCCAGCAGCAGCGGGAGAGGGAGGAGGGGCAGGAGGGGCGGCAGCAGCAGGAAGAGGGGCGCAGCGGCGTGCGGCGGCGCGTCGCGGTGGCCGTGATGGACGACGAGTCGTGCTACTGCGCGTCCCCACCCGGCCGCCTGCGCGGCGGCGTGGCCGTGCAGGTCCTGGCCCTGCAGTCGCTGGGCTGGGCGGTGCTGCCGCTGCCGGTGCGCGAGTGGCAGGCGCTGGGGAGGGACACGGCCGCGCAGGACGCCTACCTACGCGCCCGCATTGCGGCTGCGGTCGGGTGAGGCTGGCCCCGTAGTAATTCAACCCCTGTCATTGCAACAGATCACTGCAGCCAGATTTGACCACAGGTTTTTCGTCACGGCTCAGCCGGTCGTGCAAGCTTATCCCCTGGGGGCCTTGCGCTGATACTTAAGCGGCTGCTGTGTTTGTGGGGTTTACAATGCAGGCCCATCGCTGCTGCAGGGCACTCCGCCCCTTCTGATGCGCAGAGAGTGAGCGGCAGCTAGAAACGGAAAGCCTCGACGCCACTGCCAGCGCTCCCCATGCCCCCGCGGCTCGGCAGCTGCCGCAGCGGACTGCCCGCGCTGCCGGGTGCGTCCCCAACAGCACCGCCGCCGCTCTGCTCCGTGCTGCCCGCGGTGCCGACGGTTTTGTAGCGCAGCAGCTGCCGCAGCAGCTCCGACAGCACACCCTGCGAAGAAGGGACGTCAACGGCGATCTGTGCTCGCACATGAGGAAGCAATGGGATGAGATACATGATGGCACAAAACACAACCACCCAGGAACATAGCCGTGTAGCTGGTGGCCATCTCGGATTGCACCTCTCAAGGATCCCCCACCATATGCCCAGGTGCATCCCTGTGCGTTCATGCGTGCGCGCCCCTCCCGTCCCACCTTGGCGCCCTCCTCCGGCCGGCTCTGCAGCCCGCACGCCGCGCCCGCCTCCACGAGAAAGCACTCCAGGTCAGACTCACCCACGCCCAGACCACCCCCGCCCGGCCCGCTGCTGCCAACACACTTGTTGAAAATGGCTGCCAGCCGGCCCTAGGCGCGAGGTGGGAGGAGCGACAAACAGCGCCTCCTTCCTGGGCTGGGCACAACAAGCCTGTCAGCACATGCGACATGGAGGCGGCTGCAGATCCAGGATTTGCCACCCCTGAAGGCCAACCGCCCAGTTGAAGCAAGCCTAACACATGTTGCTGCTGCTCCAGGCTTGCTGGAGCCCAGCGGCCGGCCTGGCCGCTCCCGAACACCCCTAAATCCCACCCCCACCAACCTGGGGGGAGGCAAACGCGTCGTCCAGGTCAAACAGCTCCAGCGCCGGCGCCGCCGGCTCCCGCGCCGCGGGCGGGAACGTCGCCGCTTGCAGCGGCGGCAGCGGCGCCTCGAAGCTGGGCGCGATCAGCGCGAGGGGCGCCTTGCGGACGCCCAGCTTGCGGTACAGCGCCACAGCCTCGGGCACCAGGCCCAGGTCCAGGCCTGCCAGGGCCGGGCTGAACAGCCGCGTCCAGTCGCGCGGCAGCTGCCGCACCTCCTGCAGGCACGGCTTGGGCCGGTCCGCCAGCGCCTCTGTGTCGGGCAGCAGGCGTGCGTCTGACAGGTCGGGCTCCTCCGCATCCCCCGGGTGCAGCGCAATGCGGGAGCCCTGCGGGCCGGCGCGTGTTGTGAGGTGCGGCAGCGCGATGGACAGGTTGTGTGGCGCATGGGTGTGGCTGTGTCAGGTGCTGTCTCAGACCTCCAAAGCGCACACATTGCTTGGACACGATCCCCGTCAAACGGCCGCCAGGAGCCTGCCCCGAAAACCCCAGCTCAGCCGAGCACCACCCAGCCCAGCCCAGCGCAGCCCAGCCCAGTGCAGCCCAGCCCAGCTCGACCGCATGGCCCGCCCCCCCAACCTCTCACCGGACGCAGCCACTTGAAGGCCCAGTCCATCAGCCGCGCGTTCGCCTCCTTGTCGAGCCACCGGTCATCAAACAGCCGACAGCTGCCCAGCACCAGCAGCCGGCCCCCGCCACTCCCCGCCGGCGCCTCCCAGCCCGCCGCCAGCGGCCGCTGCATCGGGTAGCAAATCCGCCCGCTTGACAGCAGCGGCACCGCAGGTGCCTGCACGGTGAGCGTGCAGCCGTGCGGGTACACAAACTCGAGGCCGCCTGGCTGCACCGGCCCGGACGCCGCGTCCTGCTGCCGCTGCCGGGCCACCGCCGCAGGTGTCCCCTTGCTGCTGCCGCTGCCGCCGCCGCCGCCCGCGCCCAGCAGCAGCGAGCGATTGAGGACGCCGTCCACGACGAGGGCCTCCTTGGGGTGCATGTACTTGTAGTGCGAAGTCCGCAGCACCGCGTCCGCGTTGGCGGCGACGCCAAACTGTTCGAGCACGTAGTTGATGTTGGTGCCCGCAGCCGCCTCGCCGCCCTCCGCCAGGAGGACCATTAGCCCGCCGCCGCCCCGCACAAGCCCCGAGATTGCGTCGCACTCCGCGGCGCTGAAGCGCTGAGTGGGGCAGCCGAGGACGAGGATTGCGGGCGCGGCGCCGCCAGGGCCGAGGAGCACCTCTGGGTGCAGGTCGTCGCGGCTGTCCAGCTTGTCGGGGCGGTAGGCGCTCCGCAGCCGGCGGAAGAGCTGCTTGAAGCCTGAGCGGTGCGTGTGCGTCTCGCCCTTGCAGCAGCTGAACAGCACGCGCGGCGCGGAGGCGTCGGCGGCCGCCTGGGGCTGCTGCTGCTGCGGCTGCTGTGGTTGCTGCTGTGCCGCTGCCAACGCGACGGGAGGGCCATCCTGGTCAAAGGTGCTGCGCGCGCCAGCGCTGCCAGCTCGGCTGCCGCCGCTTGGGTAGCCCTGCGAGCGTGCGTTGCGGCATACGTGTTGCGCGTTGACTGCGCTGTTCGATGCGTTGACCCAGTGGTGTGGCTGCCGCACGCGCGCCCATGTCCATGCCGCCCGCACCTGGCTGGCTGGCCGTGCTGCCCTATACTGTGACATCGTAGTGGCTAGCCCCGCTCGCGATCGCCCCGCAGTGGGCTTGCCCCTACATACGAGCCGCGGATGGACGTGGGCCGAAAGTCCAAGATCACAAGATGGTCCGAAACCGAAGCTTGCTATTATTGTTTGCTGTATAGATTGTCTTCGGCACAGGCAGCGTTGTGGAGCAAACGCCACTGACACGGCCCGTGTCGATGCCACTTGATGGATCTTGCCACTGTCTGCTTACGATAGACTATACATCGGGTTTGCTGTAGATTGAAACATGCCAAGTAGCAGCAGCGGGGATGACCCAGGTTCCGCTGGCGCACCGCCCCCACTGGCCGCCGCCACCATCGCGCTGCGAGACCCGCATGAGTTGCTGTTAGCATGCTCGGCGCCCGGTGCCGACCCTGGGATCGTGGACGCACTCTTGCAACAGCTGGTGTCCTTCGCAGACGATGGCGCTGCAGCGGCAGCGGCACTTGCAGCCACGGACGCATCAGGCCTGACGGCGCTGGCTGCGGCCGCACGCGCCGGCTGGCCGCAGGCCGTGCGCCGCATGCTGCAGCTTGGCGCCAACCCTGCGGCGCGGCTGGTATCTAGCGGCAACACCGCTGCCCACCTGGCCGCGCTGGGCGGCCACTTGGCCGTGCTGCGGGAGCTGCTGCCAGGTCAGCACGGCGGCGGAGGGAGCAGCGGTGGCGACGCAAGCGGGGACGCGGGCGGTTGCGACGCCCTGGTAAATCGTTGCAACAACAATGGCGACACCCCTCTGATGTTCGCCTGCAGCAGTCCTGGCTCGCAGGCCGTCGCGTGCGTTGCGCTGCTGCTCAACCGCGGGGCTGACCCGCACGCACCTAACCGCGATGGGTTGACGGCCGCCATGGTCGCCGCGGGCCACGGGCGGCCGCTGGCGCTGGCGGCGCTGGTGCGGTGCTGCCAGAAGGGCGGCGGCGAGGATGGCAGCAATGGCAACGGCAGCGGCGTGGACAGGCTGCTGGGTGCCAGGGACACTCATGGCAACGGGCCGCTGGCGTTTGCGAGCCGTTCGGGTGAGCTGGCGCCTGCTGTCTGCTGTGCTGCATGGGCAGCGCGAGCTGGGAGCGCTGGTTGCAGTCCCTTCTTATGAGACTGCTTTGCAAGGGTGTCAGCGCTCTGTTGAGCGTGCCCTTGTCCTTGCTTATTCCTCATCCCCGTGTCCTCTGCGTACTTGCAACAACTCGTCGCATCCAGGCCACACTGAGTGCGTGCAGCTGCTGCTGGAAACCACCACCGCGGTGCCCCACGTGTTTGGCCGCAACGCTGCGGGCCGCACGCCTCTGGATGAGGCCCGTAAGGAGCGGAACAAGCAGGTCATTAGGTGCGCTAGGAGGCGGCAGGGTCAATCGGCTTGGCAGGTTGAGCGTGATGTTTTGTTGGCCAGTAGAGCTTGCCCACCATACTTAATTTTTTGGGTACATCAGCACACCTCTGGACCCGCATCCACTGTACACATTGTCCTCTTCTATTCTTTGGACATGTCTCACGCGCCCATTCCAAACTCAATGCACAGGCTGCTGGAGCAGCATGTTGCCAAGGAGCAGTGTGCTGCAGAGCGGCGCGCGATTGAGCTGCTGGGGGAGGACATGCAAGGATCCGCGGCCAAGCAGCGACGAATGCAGCAGCAGGGGCAGCAACAGGGGCAGCAGCAGGGACAACAGCAGGGGCAGCAGCAGGGGCAGCAGCAGGGGCAGCAGCTGGGGCAGCAAGACAGCGAACGGGTGGTCGAGGTGAAAGCCCAGCGTGAACACTCCAAGGTGGAGCGGACGCAACAGCAGCAGCAACATCCGCCGCCGCCGCCACAGCAGCAGCAGCAGCAGCAGCAGCAGCTTGGACCCGCCTCCGCTCCAGCCTCAGCCGCAGCCACAGAACCAGAAGATGCCAGTGAGGAATGGGTGGTGGTCGGGGGCAGCAACAGAGGAAGCAGTGGTCGGAAGACCGAGGCCCGGGTGCAGCAGGCGCCGGCTGCTTGTGTGCAGCACGCAGCGCGAGCGAGGGCCTCCCATTCGGCGGCTGGACCACCCCAACCCCGCCAAGCGCCCCCAGAGGAGCCAGAGCGGCCGCATCCTGCCCGGAATGGCAGTGTGGCCTTCGGCAAGGGCAGCCGTGCGACAGACGAGCGGCCAGCAGCAGGTGTCAGCCAGCCCAAGATGGGGGCGTGGGCAGCTGCGGTGCGCAACGAAAGGGCGATGGCGACACAGGCTGTGGCGCAGGAACAGGTCCAGCACGCGGCACTGGATGCTGATGCGTCCAACGCACCTGATCTTGAAAGCAGCACGGAGCAAACGGCGGCCGGGCCCGTTGCAGCGGTCCAGGCGAGCAGCAGTAGCGCCAATAGCGGCGACACGGCCAGCAGAGGTCGCGGCGACAACGAGAGTGACGGCAGCACCCTTGCAGCAGCTGCGTCCCAAGAAAATGTCGCCATTCCCAGATCACTTTCTCTGCAGTCGCCCGTCGCAGAGAACCCCCCTCCGACGGCGCGGTGGCTCGACGCTGCTGCGCTCGTGATCGCCGAGGCGTGCCCGTCTGCGGCTGACCTCGACGTGCTGCCGCAGCACGTGCTGGGGCTGGGGCTGGACGACCTGTCCGCTAGCCAGCTGGAGGCGCTTGAGACGATCCACCGCAGCGCCCTGGCCCGCATCTCGGACGCACGCGTGCGGCTGGCGGCAGCGCGCGCGGAGGCGTCGGCGGCGGAGCGGGCGCGGCTGAGGGATGAGATTGCGGCTGTGGCTGCGGCCATGGGGCGCGGCGGCGGCACTAGCAGTGGCCCCGGTGGTCCTCCGGGCGGCGACAATGTGTGATCACAGGCAGAAAAGGCGTTGACGGCAGCGGCTGTGTGCATGTGCTGCTGCGCGTAGTGCACTGGTGGACAACCTTCGCGTAAAGCCCCGTCAGGTGGGTGCCGCATGGGGAATAATTGCCTGGCTCAGGGTCAACAGGGCGCGCGAATGGGGATGACAACGCCTGGGGCGCGCTGGTGGAGAGCACTCACAAATCTGCGCTTCCCCTGATCGCGGGTCCATCCCTGTGTCATCCTCCTCGTCCAGGCTGCCAAACGCTCTGGCGGCTGTGCTGAAAGGGCCACGCACCCTGTCGAGATGCCCCCGTTTCGCCCTGGCAGGATCTTGGGTAACCGCCCCATTGTTCATGTTCTGTCCACATCAATGCTCAGCAGCATGCACTGCAGGCCACCAAGTAAAGGAATATGCACACGATCAGTCCGTTTGCCTCCATGAGTGTCCTTCTAAGCCTCCAGTATGAACCTCCAAGCACCACGCGCCATGTGTGTTGTCCATACAGCATGGGATTCACGAGCTTCGGCGTGCGTGCAGGGTTGTTCTGCCATGCTTTTCGCAACGCGCAAGCGCTGAATTGTGCACAGCGCAGACTCTCAAGCGTCAGCCCGTGCCGCTGGGCCGCACGTGCACGGCAACCAGAAGCTGCTCACCTGCAGTCCTGCACAGCTGCCATTCGACTGGTCCTAGGTCACCAGTTAGCAACCTGCATCCAGCTTGTGAAAAGCATGGCAATGCTCATGCGCGCTTGAGTCTGCTAATGCAACACTCGATGTTTCAGCAGCCTATGTTGCAATGTGGCAGCCCCACGACCTGGCCTGCTTGGGCCGCCAGGTCCACACAGCCGTGGGTGCAGGGCTGCGGAAAATGGGGGCTCACCCCATGCATTACTGATTTGCGCAACATTGATAGTTGCAGGCTGCTTGGCCTGCAGCTGTTGGGATGCTGGTGAGAGCCTGCGACGCAGCCTCATGTAGAGGCCACGCTTACGAGCGCGCCAAAGTGGGGTAATCTGAGAAGTACACATGGGTTGCATTGCTTGAGTGCTTCCAGCTGTGGAACGCGAGGCTTGTGTAACACTGGCCCACCTGCGCAGGCTATTATGCCAGCCTTGCGTCCTGCAACCACGGTTTCTTTTGCACTGTGGCTGCCAGCTTGGGTTTGGCTGATGGTCGGAGCATGCGTGTCGCCTTTGTGTGCCGCAGGAGGCTGTGCAGCACCTTGTGGCGTAACCTGTGTCTAGTGAATCCACTATGTTGCCCGCTTAGTCAGCCTGGCGGCCCAGAGACGTGTTGCTGATTCCACGAGGAAGCACAGCATCAAGGTGCGTGCCCGCAACTTGGCCGCAGCACACATTGTGGTTCACACCACATTCTCCCTCCCTCCCCCCCTCTCTCTCCCCCTCACTCACTCTCCCATCTCTTCCTCTCTGGTACACACGCGCGCACATACCGGAGCAACGCATACAGTATATGTAGTCACGCGCACACAACACTCTCACAAACATGCACGCATACACACACACACACTCTCACACACACACACACACACACACACACACACACACACACACACACACACTCACGCACACACACACACTCACGCACACACACAATCAAAAATACACTTTGCTCATCTGGGATGGTACCACCCATTGGATCTATGAAACTCAAACGCTCTTGCCCTTATGCACACACACAAACACACATCGCACACACGCACACAGTACCCGCTTGCATGCGTGCTAGCACACATATACACACGCACGTGACGTGTGTGTGTGAAAGCCTGCACGCATGCATTTGCGTATGTGTGCTGGTGGTGTCAGGCACGGTGCCTGATACCACCAGGGCAGACTGCTTGAACGCATGACCACCATTGAAATCAACCACTCAAGCAGTCCGCAATCAGTTCCCAATCGTCCTTTTCGAGCACTTGGTTGTACTCCACTCGAGGTTTGGTATCAATGTGCGCCGTATTGCCTTCAGGTAAGCATGTGTTCCTCTCACACACCCATGATGACCGTGACCAGTTGGCAGTGGTTTGCTCCAAGCGGACAGTGCAACCTAGGGGTGTTGGTAGGTTGTGTGGTGCGGCATCCCTCCGCGACTCATACGCCGCCATGCTCGCGACGTGTTGCTGCACCTGATTCACCTGATGCGAGCACACCACTGCTGTTGGCGGGGGCGTCGGCTTCGCCTTCATTCCCGATAGCCTGTCACGTCACCCCCATCAATTACTTAGACAAGAGATTTTGCAAGATAGCCAGCGCCCGCAGCATGTCAGTGACTCGCAGGCTGCACATGGCCACGAGGTGTCGGCGCGTGTAACCCCGGTGTTTCCCCCACATGAACGCTCAACCCGTTTACCTCAGCACTCTTTCAGGCTCTGCGATACTAGAGTCTCTCTTTCGTTGTGCTTCGTGCCCCAGATCGTCGTCATGAGCCTCGCCGCTTGCCCCATGCGTGTCAGCAAGCTCCAGTCGGGCGTCTGCGCCGTCAGGGTGAGCTGTAGTCCACTGGAATAATCTGTAGTGGCCCATTGGGCGGGGTCTCCCTCAGCAGATCGAACGCAGTAGACGGCGGCCCACGTTTTGGGCCTGGTCCTGGGGTTGCAGCCCCCCGATGTGAAGTCAAATTGCATAGGAAGAGTCAATCTTCGACCACAGACGCAACTGGAGGCTGTAGTCGCGCATCGACGCGTGGACCTGTCGTCGTGCCTTGCCTCGAAGCTAGGGCTTCTGTAACGTCCTGAACACCGCACGGCCTGCATTGACTAGTTGAAGCGGCACATTGACGCACTTCGCCCCTCCTCCACTGCATGACGGCCACTGCGGTGCCGCTTCCCACAGGCTGTGCCCGCTGGCCGCCGTGCCGTGCGCGTCTTCGCCAGGGGCCAGAAGTGAGTGGGTCGGCGCTGCGTTGGTCTAGACCTGCTGCGCAGGCGATACCGAGGCCGGCACGCCGCGAATGAGCATGTCCTCAGCCGTACTCTGCAAGCGGTGACAGTGACTGGCACAGCGCCGCTGCCACCCCTCGTGCTGCGGCCACCCATCCCGTTCGATGCCGCCCATGGTGCCCGTGCTTGCCTGCAGGCTGGAGTACATCTGGAGCGATGGCCAGGAGGGCAAGGAGATCAAGGGGCTGCTGTTCAACGAGCTGCGCTCCAAGACCAAGTGCCTGACCACGCCCATCGAGTCCCTGGACCCCAAGGTGCCCGGGGA